CAGGTCACATTTGACATTTCTTACTTGCTTAGTGCGCAGGAATCACGAGACTCTGGCAGGCCGTAACCTGCACAACATGGAGGTGAAACCACACGTTTAGCACTGTGAGATTTAATCTTCTTACACCACTTATACTATTTTCTTTCCAGGCATGTGCCCTTTGACATAAAGCATTGCACTGTGCTCTGTCCACCAAACACACAGACATGTATTCAGATGAGAGTAAACAGAGCTATGTGGAGGCGTCGCACCAACAGAGAGCTTTGTTTCCTCTCTGCCTCTGTCTCACTGTCATCTGACACATGACGTCACCACCTGTTTGTATCATTCAGTCCACAGTCCACACATCCATGTTGCAACAATGCAGACAAAAAAGAAATAAGGCTCTGGGGATTGCCAAAGGGAAATTCCTTCGCTTTGTGGTGTTGAAACATACACTGAGTCGTGGAATCCACAGTCTTATCTGCCAAGATATAACAAGATAACATGAAAAGCGTTTGTGTTATCGAGCAATGAAGTTATAAACTCTGTTGGACCGTTTAATGGCGCTTACAATAACACTGACAAGGATTATACTATATTGTTTTTACGATAGCTTAAAAACCCAGCAATTAGCTTTATGGTGATTGTGAAGAGCTGACAAATGTAAATGGCCACTTTTTCTCACTAATATCTAAAACAATAAAAGCAGTTTGCTTTCAATAATTACAATAAAAACACTAATGATAATGCATAATAAAAACACAGATATTTACAGTTAAATAAAAAAACTCATGATTCTGGGTGAAAAGCTTAAATTGTGCCACAGTGATTGCAAAATAAAAGTTCAACAGCAAGTGTCACCATGACGTGACTCGGAAAACTTCACATTAAAGTGCGATGTGAAAGAGTCATATATCCGTCCTCCATCGCTTGAACCCATGACACTAAATCCCCCTCAGGGGTGGAGTGATATTCAAGTCACCTCTGAGTCACAGGGGGCATTTTGTCCATCCTTCAGCAGTGAGTGGACTGCACCTGCTGACCTACAGTCATCTGTTTCAGTCATCTGTTTCAGTTCTTCCTCCTCGTGATTCTGCTCAGGCAAGGCTTCCTCGCCCACACCCAGCTCCCAGAGCGAGCCCTTAGAGTTTACTGTAGCACACGTCAACATGGCCAGCGTCCGTTCCCTGAAGTTTCCACACAGGCCGAAGTAGAGCAGAGGTCTGAGGCAGGCGTGCAGGCAGCCAAGAGCAGATGTGAACATCAGAGCTGTCATCTGGGAACTCTTAAGATTTCTAGATAAACCGCCATCAAGTTCCTTAGAGCTTCTTCTGATTGTGTCTACAAAGAGTATGATGTGGTACGGCATCCAGCAGAGGAAGAAGACCACCACTAGGGGCAGGAGGAGTCTGCCGGCCCTCTTCTTTTGAGGACCCTCAGAGCCTCGTTCCAGCCGCAGCAGGATGAAGGAGCTGCAGATGATCAGGGCGAGTGCAGGCAGCAGGAAGCCCAGCGTGAGGTGGAGAAGGCGGAACACCAGCTGTGAGGTAGAAAGGAACTGAGCGTAGCTGTCACACAGTCTTTTCCCCGTGCCATTATTCACAGACAGGAAGATACTGTCAGGGATGGAGAGGATCACGGAGAGGAGCCACACCGACAGGCAGCAGACGTGAGCTAACCTGGGATTCTTCTGGGAGAACCGCTGGGTGCTGTGGACGATGGACAGGTAGCAATCCAGACTGATGCAGAGCAGCAGGAACATCCCACAGTAGAAGTTGATCTGCGAAAAAAAAAAACAAACCATGAGCTAAGATCTAGTGACTCATCCCTCGTTGGCACACACCACAAAGCGCCTTGGACTATCCTTTGTGCCATCAGGCTCCACAATAAATAAAGTGCTTGTAATGTACCTACTCTGACTCACACTTCTAAATGTACATGTGTTCTGTTTTGTTTTTGTAACCACTTTTTACTTATTTTAAACTCATCTTGTTCTGTTGAGCACTTTGGGCCTTGCATGAAAGGTGCTATATCAATAAAGTTATTCTTCTTCTTCTATATTTAACACATCCATAAATATTCATATCTGTATATATGTTAAGACCTTTAATTGTAATTTTACAGCCACTTAGATTTATTTGAAGTTTCTTCTATGTATTTTTTTATTTATTATTATTTTATTATCTTTGTGTGAATACATATATTTGTTGCCGTTGCTGCCAAGACACCTGCATTTATCTATAGGGATCAATAAAGTTTGATCTTATCTTTTTGAAACAACTCTAGCTGTCTCGATCACTCTCACTACTCCCTTCCTCTCGACTCTTCCCAGAAAGAGTTTCCTGGAGGAATGTGGCTGTCAGCAGAGAGTGAACCTCGCTCTTTAAAAGTATCAAGTACAATAACCTCATTCTGCCAAGAATCCCTCACTGAGAATTCAATTAATGGTCTTCAGCCTTAACACCCCACTTTCTCACAGCTTCACTGAAAACATCCCGCTTTCACTTTCCAGTCTCTGTCTGTTCTAGTACATACTGTATATCTGTTAATAATCCACATATGTGTTTGTGTGTTATTAAGAATACAGGATGTCATTCAGCTGTACAGTTTTCAGATAGAGTCATCTCATTCATTCTTATTCCTGAATTTTACTTGAACTACTTGTACAGATGAATTGCCATTTTTATGACTTTTTTTTAATTTGATATAATACGTTGCATTGTGGAAGGAGCCTGGGACTAGCTGAAGCTGCTGTGCATATATGACAATAAAGACTTTGAAACCTAAAACTTTACATTCCAACATAGTATTTGGTACTCACATTAAATACAGCTCCACTGATCTTGCAAAGAAAGCCCCCACAGCACCACCCAGATATCTGAGCAGCCTCTGCGGCCCAGAGGGGCAGCGAGACCAGCAGCAGGAGGTCGGAGACACTCAGGTGGAGGATGAAGGTGTCTGAAATACTCCAGGATCGCCTCTTCTGAACCAGAACAGCCAGTAGGAGTGCATTCCCCAGCAGACCTACAACCAGCTCCAGGGAGTAGAGGATAGGGAGCAACACCGCTATACTGACCCTCCTCGCCTCAATCTCCTCTTTGTACTCGTAGTCTTCATCGTAGTCATAGGTGCTGTTCTGGCCAAGGAATCCACCCACATCCACTTCCATGTTCATCTACTGTTGGATTGACCTACAGAGAGAGAAGTCCAAAATGCTCAAGTACTCCAGTCCAGAGGATGGATGTCAGTGATACCAGTTTGTATACTCTTTCTGTTGCTTCTTTCCCTTTCTCTTATCTGTGTTTTTGACAGTCGTGGCTGGGAAGTCCATCTGATGCTTTTTAGAACTTGCCCAAACTCACATGGTGTATGATGTCACTGGATGAGCTCAGTTCCCCTTGGTCATACTGAAACAACCTATGGAGCTATTTTAAGCACAGTGGCTGTGAGCTCAAGGCAAGTGTTGCAGTTTATTCAGGTAGATATGCAAACATCGAAACCAGTAGGAAATAAGATAAGGCACATCAAACCCGCAAAAAACATGAATAACTTACAGGCCCCGAAGCAAAGATACGTTTCGAAACTAAGACTAAAAGAGAAACAGACGTCAATATTAATTTTGCAATATTGGCTCAAGCTGAAATGCTGCAACTTCTTAGGTAATAAAAGGCAATCAGGTTAAATAAGTCTGACTATCATAAGGAAACGATTATTGAAGTTGTGGGTTTGCACATAAGTAAAGTTACTTACCATAAAAGGCTTCAGCTGTCGCTCTACTTGCACGTATCTCTTCGCACCGGGGTCAAAATGTGCAAACACAGTCTCCGTTTTTGGAGGGAGGAGGACGGATCAGATCTTGCAGCTGTCGAGCGCCAGTCAAGTCCGGTAGAAAAACGCACGAAATCCTGTTTCGAGTAAAAGCGCAAACATGGAATAACCACAAAAAATGAAAGAAAATCCGCGCGTCAAAATGGGTTGAGGGTGAATCCACGAAAACAACAGCACCGGGGAAGCAGGGGACAGTAAAAGGCAGACGGTGAGAAAATGTGCGCTTCACCAGCTCGAAGTGTTTACAACATTGACGCACTAAGAGGATACTCAGTGACCTTACAGCCAATAACATGGACACAAGGCTACAGCTTACGTTCACTGAAATAAATTCCCCAGATGATTGTTTTGTTTGATCAAATGTCACCTTTTCTTGCATGTTGCAACATCAGATCATCCGCCAACTCACACGAAAAACCAAGACGCTCGATGTGTTTATTCAAAATAAAATATTGCATTAAAATTCACTGTAACATTCACAATCCAAAACCAAGATATAGAGTTGAGGGAATACACAAAGCACTTACTTTTATAGTTAGAAAAGCAGGTATTGGTAAACTTGGATTATTCCCCATGGTGTTTGTGCAATTGTGGCAACCCGAGCTTTATTATGAAGGGCAAATTACCAGGATTTCGCGTTTCCGCTTTCTGTGGCTAATTTGACGAAACGAAACCGCTGCTGAACACAAAGCACTCAAACAATGAGCCGCACAGACAGCTGCTTTCCACCAGATAGAGCTGTTGAATTTGTTTTTCTATTAAAAGAAAAAATAAATCAGAAGAAAGGATACATATAAAACCGGGCAAAGTGTTCATAGTCACAGGAATCACAACAAGGAATCATAGGATATTTTTGTAAAGTATTGCTGTGGGATATATGCTTAAGTACAATTTAGAGCTGCATACACTTTACCTTAATTCTGCTGCACTACATGTACAGTATGAAACAGCTGCATTTATAAGTTACTTTTGAGATTACGATTGTACATGCAAATAAAATGTCATTTAAGTATTGGTTGAACATTTTACTAAAGTATAAGTATGTATCTATGGCCAAGAAAATATACTTAAACAATTAGGAATAAAAGTACACATTGCAGAAAAAAACCCAGCACAATCTTCATACTTGGGAAGCTGGAACTATACAATTTATTTTTTGAAAAAAATCAAATCAAATCTGAATATCTAAATGAACTAGTAACAAAAGCTGAAAGATAAATGTAGTATGTAAAACGTACACTTTTTCCCTAAGAAATGTTGTGAAGTAGAAGTATGAAATGAAACAGAAAGAACATTGTCAAGTAAAGTAGAAGCACCTGAACGGTATAGTACAGTACTTAAGTCAATGTACTTTCCACCACTGCATACAATCCACTACAATCCAGTAATTTGCCTCTGTGATGTAGTGGAGAAGTGGCAAGTTGCATAAAATTAAGATACTTAAGTAAAGTACTAATACCTGTAGGATTTGAAATGAATGACACTACTTAAACCAAGTTATTCGACCACTAAGATGTTGATGGATATATGAAGACGACACTTTATGGATACCCCAAAATATTTATTATAAAAATCATCTTTATACATTTCCTGTTTTGCAAAGTTTTAAGGAACTTAGCTGAGAGAAAAGCTGCACAAGGATCATGAAAAAAAAACAAAAAAACAGGAAATGAAAAGTCCAACTAAACCATTACAACAATTTTCACAGTTTTACAAGATGAAGCTTATTTGAGTTTACAAACTACATGAGTGTGAAATCTGATAAGAAGCATCTACTGGCTGTAATGATGAGGAACAAACCACAAGCTTCCTCTTTACTGCTGATAGCGCACTTTGAGAGTTGTGAAGGAATTCAGATGTTTCACAAGATTCGACCCATGGACATGAAAATCCACACGTTCTCACAAAAACACTTTACATGAAAGCAACATCAACATGTTCGGAGGTGGCGTTCTTTTTCAGTGTTTGTTCCACACTTACTTAATGGTTTTACTTGAAAAAATGGCTGTGAATGTAGGTTGGAAGCTGCAACAAAACACACAAAAAACACATATCAAAGCACCTGAAATGTATCGCTTTCCCTCTGAGAACATTTTTAAAGTTTTAAGTAAGCAATTTTCTTATACACATTTTCCTGTTCCTCTAACCAATATCACACCATGACAGAGAAGGAGGTGTGTTCACTTTCTGCAGAGCTGAATGATCCTCTGGTTTTCCTGAGCCTCCTCTCCCTCCACCCCTCCATCCCCAGGAAGCCTCTCTGTCCCAGCAGCCCCTTGCACATCCTGGCCAGCTCCCTCCTGAACTTCACCCCAACGAAGCCGTACAGCAGAGGGTTCAGGGCGCAGTGCGACAGCCCCACGCTCTCAGTGATCACAATCCCCATGTCCACCACGTGGCCAAAGTGGCATCCTCCAACCACCAAGCCCATCCGGTGCAGCCTTTCTGCCATCTGGAAGCAGTTGTACGGCGCCCAGCAGACCACAAACACAGACACCAAGGACACGATGAGGCTGAGGGACTTGCGTTTTTGGCGGCGAGTGGCGTTGCAGAGAGACCTGAAGATACGGATGTAGCAGTAGAGCATGATCAACAGTGGGAGACCGAAACCAAACACCAGGCTGACCAGCTGCAGCCCCACGTGCCACTGGTTGGAGTTCTCAGTGAACCACACCTGGCACATCATCTTCTCACTTCCCCTAGTTCCAATAGCCACTACCTGTTTGAAGTAGATGTCTATTCCACTCAGGCCCAGACACACCACCCAGATGAGGGCACACGCAACCTGGGCATGGCAAGTGCTGCGTTTCCAGCCGGAGCTGACAGCGTGGACGATGGCCAGGTACCGGTCGAAGCTGATGCAGGCCAGGAAGAGGATGCCACTGTAGCGGTTCAGGGAGAAGAGGGCGCCGGAGATTTTGCAAGCAACCAGGCCGAACACCCACTGGTGAGCCCACTGGACTGCGAACAGCGGCAGGGTGAAGGCCAGCAGCAGGTCGGAGATGGCCAGGTGGAGCAGGAAGGTGTCGGTTAGAGAGAAGGCGCAGGCTCCTCCGCTCTGAGAGTTTCGGTAGCGGCGGATCACACACAGAACCAGAACGTTCCCAACCAGAGCCACGAGGAACACCAGCATGTAGACCACTGGAGAGTATCTCTGTCCAAAACTGTAGATGTCCTCCTGATAGCACGGGGCATAACTCATGTCTGTTTCGGGGGGCCCGGTGGAGTTTTCATCTTCATAAGAATATCCCTGTCGACAAGAGAGAAGAAGAGCTTTGTCAAATTCTTGTAACAGATCAATTATTCAATAAAAGTTCAAACTTATTATGCTGCCACCAGTTGCTGTATTATTTTATTTAAGTAAGGGCAGTATTTACACAAAAAGTCATGAGGTTTTCAAAATGGCACATAAAAACAATTGATCCAGTGTTCGTATATTATTTTTTTATACATAACATTTATGTATACAGCCTTTTTAGTCAGACCTTCCCATATTACAGTACACATTTTTCCTTCAATTGACTTTACAGTTTTGGTTTTATTCTTACATTTTCTTTTATGTTCTTTCAATGTTTTGTTCTTGCATTATTTTATTTATTTGTTTGCCTTGGACTCTGTATGTTGCATTGTTGGAAGAGCCTGGGATGCAATATGTTTACCTCCATCCGTATCTTTAATTACCTGTATCTGTTGTGCATACAAGTATTTCAATCTTAAGTCTTTCAGATACTATTTTCAGTTGAGATACTCACTGTGCAACATGTGAGTATCTCAACTGAAAATATATGTTGGATCTGTGCTTTATGATAAGTTAAAGCGGCTTATGTTATCGGAAATAAAGTGCTAACAGAGGCACGTTGTGTCTCCTGATGAGAAAATGGTTTCCACTCACCCAGTAATCCTCTGTGGTCGTAGACACTTCTCCCATATTTGTAGAAATTAAGCCAGCAGCCTGAAATCCTCCAACAGAGACACTCATAAACACAATGAGATAAGGGACGGTCAGAAAGAAGAAGAAGAGGAAGAAGTAATTTCAGGAACTGAATCTTCGCACATTTAGATGCTACATAGTAGTAATAGATGAGTGTGTCAAGGAAATTGTGATATATATTTTCAAAGTGTGTCTGCAGCCAGCTATAAAGCTCCATCAGACAGACACTCAGTCATGACTGGTGTCATCAATATGGAAAAATACTCTATTTCTATCTCATACTTCATCTTCTGCAGACCCCTCATGCTATGGGATTGTTTACACATCTTGCATAACGTCACATTGAAAGGGAACTCACTTTATGGGAATTCGAAAAACAATCGCACACAAATGGAGAAGTGAAAGTGTTTGGTTGGCAGAAAAACTCAGTCTACACTTTTCAGGTTCTTTATGTTCAGCGTGCTTTGAGAAATTAAACATTGCAATAAAATATTAGCATAACTTGGTAAATAGAATCTAACAAGTATTCCTTGATTGTCATGAATTCTACAAATGTGCAAAAATAGAAAAAACTGCACTTTTGCAAAGCTTAATGCTATTTTTATATTTATAAGAAGCGGAATGAAAGAAGATAGTTCTTACCTTCTCAGACGTTGTTAAGCAAATGCTTTAAAAATAGGACATCCTGGTTACTATATACCAGGGGTGTCAAACTCAAATACACAGTGGGCCGAAATTAAATCCACCACATCCTGATTTGCCCCCCGGGCCTTGAGTTTGACATGTGTTTTATACGATAAGAAACACTGAACCAAAACCGGAGTAATCTGTTCATCTACGCAGGTAGAGATAACACACTCTTCGGGGGAAAACATGTTGATATGATTGACTGCGCTGTAAAGTTCTTTCATCATGCAGTTTAAATAACCTTGTGATTTTGCACCTTCCTACGGATTTCTGATATTCAACATCATCGAGATAAAAACATCTACTGAAACTCTCTCTGTTTAAAAGTGTTTAGGTGAAGTTTTTAAAGAAGTGAATATTGAACATGAGTTAATGAGAGTTTTAGAAACCATTTGTTTCCCCTCAAGCCACATCATAGGCTCTTATACAACCCAGAGGCCTTTAGTGTCCCAGATTTAAACAGTTAGGCTTTTAGGTGTGTTATTATGCACACACGGATCACATTACATACAGACATGTTCTATTCAGTAGTTAACCTTATATATGCTCCTGTTGT